TCTTGAAGACATTGGAGTAAGTAAAGATTTCTTAAACAAGACCCCCAAAGTACAGGCATTAATTCCAAAAATTAACAAGTGAGATTACATTAAGCTAAAAGGCTTCCATACAACAAAGAAAACAATAATTACAGTGAAGAGAGAACACTCAGAATGGGAGAAAATATTCGCAAATTATGCCTCAGACAAGAGATTGATAACCAGAATATATAGGGAAGTCAAGTAGCTTACCCATAAAAAAATGAAACATCTGATTTAAAAATAGACAAATGAGCTGAATAGACAACTCTCCAAGGAAGACACATGAATGGCCAAAAGGCATATGAAAAAATGTTTAAAGTCTCTTATAAGAGAAATGCAAATTAAAACTACAATGAGATACCACTTATCACCAGTCAGGATGACTAGGATGAAAAAAAATAAAGAACAAGTGCTGGCAAGGGGACCAGCAGTTAGTGTAATGGCTATGTCGCTGGACTCCCACGTAGTCGACCATGGTTCGCATCCTGGACCCGGTGGCTTAAAACTCACTTTGGGTGCATGTGCGTGCGTGCCCAAGATCCCAAGAGGAGAATGGAGGAGAAAGGATTGCGGCATAGCCATCCCCCCTGGGGGGGGGCATTTCTCGCTTTCTGTCTCTCTGTCTGTCTGGCGAGCACATGCGCTCTATAGCGAAAACCTCTCAAAAAAAAAAAAAAAAAAAAAAAAAAAAAAAGAAAAGAAAAAGAACAAGTGCTGGCAAGGCTGTGGTGAAAGGAAACCCTCTTACTCTATTAAAGATGGAGCGTCCACAAAAACCTACAAATAGAACTACCATATAGCCCAATAATCCCACTCCTTAGTATTTATCCAAAGGATAGGAAAACAGTCAGAAAGACACTTTGATATCTATATTTATTTCAGCATTATTCACAATTGCTAAGAAATGGAATCAACCTAAGTGTCCAAGAACTGATGACTGAGTTGAAAACCTGTGACACATATACACTATGGAATACTACTCAGCCACAAAAAACAGTGAGACCTTATCCTTTGATTCCAAGTGGATAAATATAGAACACTTAATGTTAAGCAAACTGAGCCAGACTTTGAAAGACACACATTGTATATCCCCACTCAATATATACTAAATGTCTGTACTCAATGGCAGAAATTGAAAGATATTAAGATATGATACTAGAGAGGATAATTTAGATACCAGAGGCCATAAGGGAGGGAAGTGGATGGTAGAGGGTGGATAGAAGGGGCAAAGGGAAGAAGCATTTAACAGACAAAAGAATGTAAGTTCTCTGTTGAAAAAAAAATTCTGTAATTTTTACTTCATTAAAAAATAAAATAAAGTGACCAGCAGTTAGAGTAATGGCTATGTCGCTGGACTCCCATGTAGTAGACCATGGTTCGAGTCCTGGACCATGTGGATTAGAACTCACACCGGGCACGTGTGTGTGCATGCCCAAGATCCCAAGAGGAGAATGGAGGGGAAGGGATTGCAGCATGGCCGTCCCCCCAGGAGGTGATTTCTCACTTTCTTTCTCTCTCTCTCTGTCTGGTGAGTGCACATGCCCTATAACAAAAACCTCTCCAAAAAAATAAATAAATAAAATAAAATAAAGAAGGAAATATTAAATATAAGAGTGAAGATCAACGATTTTTTCTGATTTGAAAATAAAATAAATTAGATTCAAATAAGGAAATATTAAATGTAAGAGTGAAGATCAACGATTTTTTCTAATTTGAAAATAAAATAAATTAGATTCAAATAAGAAAGGAAGAAGTTAAATTGTCTTATGTTTCCTGGAATCACAGAACAGTGTGATTAAAACAAAGAATCACTATGCCCATTGACCTACCATGCCACACAGACTCCAGCTCAAGGATTTTTTTTTCACAAAGTTTAGTCTCCAATCCATAAGTTCCTATCAAAACCTTGAGTAACTAAATTAAAGTTATAACATGAATTCTTCCACAAAAGCATCTTATCATGCCCTCTGCTGGGCTCCAAATGTGCTCGGACTGGAGCACAATTATTATATTATATCCTGTCTCCTGTATCACACTAGGTACCAAAAATGTCATTTCACGTTGGTACTAAAATGGACACCAGAGGTGATGGCCTCCGAACCCATCTTTCCACAAATAAGAAGACCCGTCCACTGACAATTGCAGTTAAATTTCTTTTCACTCTAGTCAGATTTCCTCAACTTCTTTAAATTTTCTGTAGCAGCAACACAACTTTAAGCTATTGAATTCTTTGTCGCAGAACTCATGATTCTCCCCCATAGAACGCCTTCATTTTCAGGTCTTCTGGTATTGATATCAACTTGGCAACCAATAAAGACTTTCTATTTCAATTAGGGACATCTACATGTCTTCTTCATAGTGGAAACTGGAATTGTAAAGATTTATATTCTTCTTATGTACAGTATATTCAACATTAGAAACAATTATATTGAGTCATTGAAACAAATTTATTGCTACTATGATAGTTATCTATGTGTCCTTTAAAATTCAATATGATGAACATGTTTTATACATATATCCTTAAATAAATTAGATATTCTTAATACTTAGAAATTTTATTCTCCATCTTCTTCCACTTACCAAAAGTAGATACTTGAATCCAACTTTGCAATTCCACATGCATTGCATCCATGCATATGAGGCTCTTTATTACAACTTTTGTTCATTTAAAACTAGTGAAAAGAAGATTCATGATAATATTTTTATCTCACATAAAGAATATTAAAACTATTAGACTGACTTATTAGACAAATTAGCCTTTATTCTGAAATAAACTAGCATAACCTAAAAAGATACACTTGCAAACATACAGAATACTACAGAAATACAAAGGACATTGGATTAGATGACGGAAGAAGGGCATTTTTTTCTGTGTGAGTTTGTGATTCTATTTCTGCAGTTTCACCCTGGCCAGAGCATCCCTCAGAGCCTGGTGGACCTGTTTATTCCTCAGAGTGTAAATGACGAAAAAAAAAAGCAGCGGGGTGACCACCGTGTTCACAAGAGAGGCCTCTCGGTTGGAGTCCAGCCTGTTGGTTTTCTTTGGTTTCACGTAGATGAAGACACAGCTGCCGTACATCAGAGAGAGGACGATGAGGTGGGACGAGCAGGTGGAGAAAGCTTTCTGCCTCTCCTTGGCCAACGGGAGACGCACGACTGTGACCGCGATGTTGCTGTAGGCAATGACGGTTATAATGAGGGACAGTATAATGACAAATAAAGCAACAAAGAAGAAATACATTTCAACAGACATAGTGGCAGAACAGGAGAGGTGAAGTAAGCAGCCAAGATCACAGAAGAAATGAGAAATGACATTGGAGCCACAGAAGGACAGTTGGGAAACCTTGAGGATGAGACCAGTGATAAAGATGAAGGACAAAATATAGCAGAAGCAAATCAGAAGGAAACAGACCCTTGGGTTCATGATGGTGGGGTAGTGCAGAGGCTTGCAGATGGCCAGGTATCGATCCAAGGACATCACCGCCATGAGGAAGAAAATTGTTGAACCAAGAAATAAAAAAGAAAAGGCTTGTGTGAGACAAGCAGTAAAGGGAATTGTCTGCTGTCCTAAGAGAAAGATGGACAGCAATTGAGGAATAACCGTGGTGATAAAGCAGCATTCACAGAAGGAGAAACTGCTGAGTAAGATATACATAGGCGTCTGGAGGCGGTGGTCAGCCCAGGTGACGGTGATGATGAGCATGTTTCCTGTAACGGAGGCCAGGTACGCCAGCAGGTGCACCAGGAAGAGGACATTCCCCAGGTGCTGGACTGCAGGAAACCCCTCCAGGACGAACTCCTGGACTGCTGTCTCGTTCCTCATTTCTGTCAGTTGTCTCCGTTTCTCTCTGTCATCAACTCTCTTTGATCTGTTAGGCAGAAAAATACTAATGCTAGAAAATAAAGAATCAAATTGATGGCTATATCTTTTTTTTTTTAAAGCACTGTTTGCAGTTACTATTCTCAAGGAAAAAGCATTTTTAATTTTTAAAGCTTTTTATTATAAATTATTTTAAGCATTCTCATTGTTAAAGTGTAAACAAAAATTTAAAGGTATTTTCAGTTTGTCTTGGAGAATAATTTTATGTGCAACTTAACTTTTCTGAAAAATAATATCTTTAAATAAAACTCAAAATGTAAACAATGGAAGATAATTATTACTTTTTATTTGCAGACAACGTTTATAACCCATGAAGTTAACCACCTCATTACATAACAGCCAATGAAGGGTATCATCTCACAGATGGTGTTCTTTTATGGAGTTACACTGAGGTAACACGTAGTCAGTGAAGCCCTCTTACACACCAATTTTAACCCTCTAAATACGGAAAGTATGAAAGCCATTTTCCTATTACCTTGTTCCAATCCCATTATTTTCCTAAAGTCCGTTTAGCCCGAGTTCTTGACCCATGGACCATAGAGTGAGCAGGAAAGTTAGCATACTAGATATTTTCTCAGCACAACGCAGACCATGAGCTTAAGAGAAACCATGGTTAAAGATGGGAAGAACACGGTTACACCATTTGGTTGTTCAGATTCAATGAATAAATACTTAATAGGTGAGTCATTATCCCTCTCAAACTTTCACCTAGCACAATGGAAATGTATTCTTTTGCTTTTAGTCATAAATGATTCTTCAACATTGCTTTTTCTGGAAGTTATTGTTACATTGTAAGATTCTAGTGAGGGATCACACTCGGGTGCTCACTACAATCGGTTTTATTGTGGTTTGTTTGTTTTTAGTGCCAATGCCACGCCAAACACCAGATGAACTGGTAACTGGTCTTTGGAGAGGGAGTCTTGGCATCTGTTGGAAATTAATACTCCAATAATTAAGTTACTGTAATTAAATTATCTTTGACTTAATTATTTTCAGCCAAATCTATTCCTTTAACTATGCATGGTCCACAATACTAGGTTAAACCTAAGTCTCTGATTTAAATATTTGACCTATTAAATTACAAAACATTCTCATGTCAAGTGCTCACCAAGAAATAGCTCACAAGAAACAGCTCTTTTGATTACATGTCTCTTTTTTCTTTCCAAAAACCAGGATCTTTCTCCCAGGCTTTTAAAATGGAGGTGGGAAAGACACTCTTAATGTACCCATCTTTGACCTACAAAAAAGTAAATGGGGGACCAGCAGTTAGTGTAATGGCTATGTCATTGAACTCCCATGTAGTCAACCACGTTTTGAGTCCCGGGCCCAGTGACTTAAACTCACACCAGGTGCGTATGTGTGTGCCCAAGTTCCCAAGAGGAGAATGGAGGAGAAGGGATTGCAGGGTGGCCATCCCCTCCGGAGAGTGATTTCTCGCTTTCTGTCTCTCTGTCTCTCTCTGTCTTTCTGGCAAGCACACGTGCCCTAGCAAAAACCTCTCAAAAAAAAAAGCAAATGAGGAGGCCAGTAGGTGATATGGTGGCTAAGGCATTGGAACTCCCACATAGCTTACTGTGGTTCAAGTCCCAGACCCTGTGGTTTGCTTTCTCACTTTCCCTTTCTCGCTCTGTCTCTCTCTGGTCTAATTTAAAAATACATACATAAAATAATAAGAATAATAATAAACAAAATAATTCTTTTTTTTAAAGTCAATGGTTTTTTTATGTCTTAAATCAATACTAAAATAAGACTAACTTTTCTCAAGAATGACAGAGCTTTCCAAACCCTACAGGATTAACAGTCATAGGTTTTTCTTACAGAAATTTGACAGATAAATCCTAGGCTGTTAGACAATGCAAAAAGCCCCATTCTGTATTCGCATTTCCTGATGTAACTACTTAAAATTTCTGAGCATGTGCATATTCACCCTACCAGACGCAAGGAAACGGTCCATCATGAGCAGCAGAATTGACTGGTTGTACGCTCATCCCCAAAGAAACTAAGGACAAAGAAACAAGTCAAATTTCCTTGCTCATGGGCACTCTTGTCACTTTTCTGTCAGTCCCTTTCTGATAGGTGAGGACCATCGCAGACATAAAGAATGCATTCAAATGCCCTCACAACATACTTACCCTGGGCTGTTCATAACACCACCAGTGAGCATAGGCAGAGTCCAAAAGACAATCTTATGGATCATTTGGACTTCTTTAGACTGGGACGATGAAAGGAAGCAGGAACTAAAATTACAACAGATTCCCAGGGGTCATTTAACTGTTCATTGCCGGAAATGGGAAATTTTAGTGGAAAGATATCGTCTTTACCGTTTCAATGCATGTGGAAACATACCACTGTCATCTCAACAGTCCACGACATCCTTGTAAAGGTTTTGAGAGAAAACTTTGGCATGACTGCCCCAGAGTTACAAAATTTGTAAAATTTCAAATTACATGTCAAGATAGACACCACTAAACAACAGAAATACTTAAGTTGTTTTGCTATTTTTTTTTTTTGGCTTTTTAAGCTGGTGTTTTATTTTAGTATAATTTATATGCCATAAGATGCACCAATCTTTGGAAGTTTTTTGTTTGTTTTGTTTGTTTGTTTGTTCGTTTGTTTTTTGTTGTTGTTGTTTTTTCTTATGGGGCACATGCACTCACCAGAGAGAGACAGAGACAGAAACAGAGAGAGAGGGAAAGTGAGAAATCACAGCCTAGAAGGAATGGCCACACCGCAATCTTTTCTCCTCCATTCTCTTCTCGGGATTTTGGGCACACACAACCTGTACCTGGCATGATTTTCAAGCCACTGGGTCCAAACTCAACCCACACAGTCAACTGTGTAGGATCTAGCACTTTAACTTCCCCATCATTTGCTGGTCCTACACCAATCTTAATTGTACAGAGCAATAATCTTTCTATATATAAGCAGCCATATAACCACTTACTCAAATTAAACTACATGGGGGGTGGAATTAAATTACAGTACGAGCTTATTTGGGGGCAAACGATTTTGATATCCATGCAGTCTTCATGATGAGCATGGTTCGTGAACTTTTAGAAGACTCATAAAATGAAAAATAGAAAAATCTACAATCGGATTTGGAGGTTTCAACAGCATTCTTTCAGTATTTTATAGAGAAAAAGATAAAAAAATCAGGTAATTTGTAGAAGATTTCTACAACATCTTCAGCTAAACAATTAACTGATAATTACAGATTACTATATTTAGCATCTGCATAATGCACATGAGCAGAGGAAATTCACCAGGATACATTTTTTTAAAGAATTATATTTTATGCAGATTTATTTATTTATTTTAACTTGACCAGAGAGAGACAGAGAGAGAGAAAAAGAGAAAGCAAGCTGCCAGGTCCAGGGCTTGAACCACAGTCAGCCATGTGGGAGTCCAGCAGCCCTAACCACCAAGTCACCTGCCAGCCCTCCAGCGTAGGTCTTATACTGGATTGTAAAACGTGTCTTGAAATATCTCAAAAGACTGAAAATAGGGACCAGCAGATGGTGCGTTGGTTAAGGTGCTGGCCTTCCACCATGGCCAACCGGTTCAAGTCCCGATCTGGTAGCTTGTTCCCCCCCCACCTCGATCTCTCTCTCTGATGAGTATGCATACCCTAGAACAAATTAGAAATTAATAATAATGATAAATTAAATAATTCTTTTTTAAAAATGACTAACCATATACAGAGTATATTCTCCAACCACAATTAAATTAGTGAGAAAACATAATAATAATTTATCTAGAAAATTCCCTGGTATTTAGATATAAATATCACTTTCTAAATAACTCTTAGAAAAATATCACTAAGGAAATTCAAAATATTTTGGATAAAATTAAATAAAAACACAGTATATTAATTTTGAAATACTGCAAAAAGCCATCCTTAGAGGGAAATATATAGCATGAATACTCATATTAGAATAAATAAAGATATAAAAGGATTCAAGTGTCCAATTTTTAAAGGGAGAAATAGAAAAAGTAATTAAAGTCTAGGTATGTGCATGAATTTACGTATACATCTATCTATATCTGGATCAATTAAATATAAAGCAAACGAAATAGAAACTTAAAAATGAAAGTTTAGGGGCTGCCAGGTGGCATGGTGGTCAAGATGTTGGACATGTACATGGCCAACCATGGTTCGAGTCTCAGGCCTGATTACTTGCTTTCTTACTTTCTCTCTCCCTCTGTCTCTCTCAGGTCAAAATAAAAAATAATAATAACAAATAAAATTGATTAAATAATTCTTCCAAAAAACAAAAAAGTTTATTCTTTTTTTTTCCTTTCTTTTCCTTTTTTTTCCTTTTTTTTTTGGAGAGGTTTTCACTATAGGGCACGTGCGCTCGCCAGACAGACAGAGAGAGACATAGAGACAGAAAGCGAGAAATCACCCCCCAGGGGGAATGGTCACCCCGCAATCCCTTCTTCTCCATTCTCCTCTTGGGATCTTGGGCACGCACGCACACGCGCCTGGTGTGCGTTTTAAGCCACCGGGTCCGGGATGCGAACCATAGTCGACTACGTGGGAGTCCAGCAACATAGCCATTATGCTAACTGCTGGTTCCCCCAAAAATTTATTCTTTAAAAAGACTAATAAAATTGTTAAATGCTTAGAAAGACTGATCAAGGAAAAAAAGAAAACTTTCTGAAGGCTTTTCGCAATTTTTCTTATTTTTCTTTCATGTATTTTTGGCTCTAATATTATGAGCATATGCATATATAATTTTTATATTTTATTGATTTTTTTCTTCATCCTTATAAATTAAACTCTTTATCTCTAAAAATATGCTATTGTGTTTGAGATTGTTACAGTCGTATGCTTTCTTTTGCTTGGTTTTGCATCCCATTTATTTCAACATACTCTATCTATATATTTAAGTGGTATTCTTATAATAATCTTTTTTACCCAGTATGGTAATGTCTTCCTTTTAATTCAAGTTCTCAGTCCCTTTTCACTTAACGTCATTATTGTAAATTCAGAGGTTTTTTTTAAGAATTATTCATTTGACTTTATTTATTTGTTTATTTTTAATTTGACCAGAGAGACAGAGAAACCAGATGCCAGGTCTAGGACTCAAACCATGGTCAGCCATGTGAGAGTCCATCGTCTTAAGCACCATGCCACCTGCCAGCCTTAGTCAGGTTTCATTCTATCATCTTGATGTTTGTTTCTATTTGTCCCCTGCTATAGGGTCCTTTGTTTCTCTTTTGCTTTCTTTTGAACCAATCAAGCATTTTTAAAAAATATTCCATTCTAATAAGCTATTTTCTTTTAAATAGTTTTAATGGGATATTGATATACACTAAACTAGACATATTTAAAACATATAATCTGATAAGGAATTACTACCACGATAAATACTATAAAAAAATACATCAACCCCAAAATTCCCTAGTGTTCTTTGGTGGTGATTTCATTGTATCTCCCTTCTTAGTTGTAACTCTGGATTTTATTTTAGTGCCTGCTTTGGCATGTATAGTATATATCTTTTTTTTTTTAAGTTTATCTTTTACTAAAAAAAGCATTACACAAGCCATTAGCCTATTTTAAGAAAGAAAAAAAAAACAAAAATTAATTTAAGGCCTTTGCTTTAAAGCAACTTAAGCTATATGATTTTTTTAAATCATACTAGAACTTTCTCGCTATCCTCTTTCTGAAGCTTTTGGATGCATTCTTCAATTCACATGCTAAAACACCTGTGAAAGCAGTCCACAAACACCATTAAGTGAATGCTGTGCAAACGCAGCCGTAATTGCTGGGCATCGTATACATCTCTAATTTATCACCGTCTCTCTTCAGCTGATACTGGAACTCCTTGCATTTAAGGACCTTATCCTAGTATAAGGCCATTTCTGCCCTCCGGCCTTTATGCTATTATTGGCAGACATTTTTCTCATAAAAATGTTATAAGCCTCACAGTACACCGTTACCACTTTTGTTGAAATAGTCGATTCTCTTATAAGCATATTTAAATAATTTAAAAAATTATTTTCTGTACCTACCTATGTAGTTACCATTTCTGCTGTTCTTTAGTAATTTGCATAGTAATCGCCATATTTCCATCTCGTATCATTTTCCTTCTCTCTGAAGAACTTCCTTTATTTATTATTCAGCAAGTCTTCTGGTGATTAATCTTTTATCTTTTATATGTCTTCATTTTTCCCAGTATAATTCCGTTCTTTCATTGTGTCTATATCAGTTTATAAGTATATTTACAAAATGTCCTTGGCACTAAATGTGAAACTAAGGAAAGTTATTTTCAAGATCTCCTACAAATCATCACTTTACATTAGCTGAGCTGAACTAAGCATGAAGACTTCAAGTTGCATTTTTATATTATTCAAAATAATAACACAGAAGAGCTTGCAGTGGAAATACCAATGAGGAAAGTATTGCATCAGTAAACATACAATGGCATAGTTGACTGAAAATATTAGCACTTTTTAAAAAGTTACCAATTACTTTTGGGAAATAAAGTTTCTAGTGAGCTAATTAGAAAAAAATGTTTAATTATACTAGGGAGTATTTCCAAGACTTTCCTGAAGTCTGACTCTCATTCTTAGAAGTATTGGCATTGGTTTCCATAGTTTGAATGTGATCTTTAGAAAATTATATGTTGAGATTTGGTTTCTGGCATGATGGTATTAAGAGGTAAAGCGTATGGGAGGTGCTTAGGATAGATAAGGTCATGAGGGTGAGAGCCCTGTGATTGAATCCCAGTAGCTTTATTAGAAAGAGACAGACACATGGACACATGCAAGCTCTTATGTGATGCCTTCATTGCCTAAGGACTCTGTAGAGGGTCCCCAGCACCAAGGAGACCCTCACCAGACACAGTCCCTTGACCTTGAACCTCCAAAAACGTGAGCTAAATAAACCTCTGTTCTTTATAAATACCTGAATTGTGGTATTTGGTCATAAAGCAACGGAGAACAGAC